CTGCTTGGCTTAAAAACAAATCAGCGGATTAAACATTAACTGCGCAACAAATAATGACAAGCAAAGTCCAGCCACACTGTGAGGAAGTAGAGCGAACCGTTTATAACATTTTATACACCGTGTCCTCACATTGAACACCGCTGAACCTGAAAGCAGGAAGTTTTTAGCCAAATATCTCATGTTTTTTTCCAGTCATGTGGGCTGAACAACTGGGGAAACAGCTGGGCCGTCCCACGCGATCACTTGCCGGGTGGTTGAACGTTTGATAACATCAGGCTTAGCACAAGCTAATGTTTAACACAGAGACTGTTTTACTTCTAGCAGACGGAGCACAGAACAAAGTCATTGTTCTGAACTTGAGAGTTAAAGGATCACTTTCTCCAGGAAACTGCAGCTCATTGGCCAACACCTTCTTTTTCTGGGAAAGATTACACAGTTGTTGTGCTTGACAAACGTTTGTGGGAGTGTGTCTTTGTGTAGTGTAGGCATACACCATTTATGTTTCTGGTACTTCAGCATTTGCATTTCTTCATCATTATAAATGATGTGATAACTGCTTAACGCTCTGACATGTGGAGATGTAATTAGGTGAGCAAATAAAATCAGTTTTTGCAGAGAAGTCAGTCAAAGTACCCAATCACAAAATAATGAGGGTTTATTTCATCTTTGCCAGCGAATCACTATTCCTCACATGAGAAGAACAAGCACAGAGCAAAGGAAAGCATTTCTGTTAGGGGTGAGCAAACATTGATTAACGTCAGTCTTTAAATTTGGGGGATAAGAAGTCAATGAATGTCCTCACATGTAGAGTAAAACACAAGTGAGAAAGAGAAAAGATTCCCACGTGATATGTTTGCAGATGTGGTCAATCAGGAAGTATTCACACCCACGATCCAACCAGAATAAACAAGTTCTTATGTGGATACAAATGTTCCTGAAGACTCGAGATCCTCTCGGTCTCCTAAGACTTTACAAAGAGGCTCTAATGAAACCAAACCAAAGGTGCTTTTACCTGTTATTCTGCACACAGACTAACAGGTGTGTTCAGTGTGTCCAATCATGGCCACATTCAAATCTAAACAAAAACATTTCTCTCTCCCTGAGTGTCTTTGTTGAATTACTGCACACAACACACGGCTGCATTTCTTGTAATTTCTTTAAATTCTACTCTATTTTTTATTTTTTTAAGTTCTATTGATGATCTAATGCATTTTCTTTTTTTGCCCCATGTAAAGCACTCTGAGTCTACAACTTGTGCACAAATAAATCTGTCTGCCTTTACACTGAACTGTAGTACAGCAGTATATATAT